CGGCATCCTGGCCAAATCTCCCCCTGGTCTTTACCAGTCATGGCCTCCCAATAACCCCCCTCTCTGAACTGGCTCCATCACTCTGCTCTCCTCCCCACTGAGAGCTGGTGTGTGGGGAGCGGACTGGAGCATCATCCAGGTGGGGTACACACTGGTGGGGGTGGAGGGGATCCCCATGACCTGTAAAGCGCTTTATAAGTGTAAGCAATTATTATTATTATTATTATTATTATTATTATTATTATTATTGTGTGTGTTTGTGGGGGGAAACTCGTCTGCTCATCTGACGCGCCGCCTGCCGAGTGAAGTCGGATTGTGCGGTTGCGCGGAGTGTCCGCTAGGCGGCGGTGTTGAGTGGGAAGCGGCGAGGACGGTGCGCCGGGGTGCAGACAGCGGCCCCGGGACCGTGATACCCCGCCACCGGGGGGGGTCGATTCTAGGCTCGGGGCTGCACCGTGAGGCCAGGAATTGCAGCGGCTGCCTGTCGTGACATCCTGCGTCCGCGCTCTCTTGAAAAAAAATCCCATTTTGTCAAACCGACCAGCCGAGAACTGGGGGTGTCTGTGGTCATGCGTGCGCCTGACTGACCTCATGAACGAAGGTCGTAGTTATAGGGGCTTCGTTTAAGCTGCTTGTTTATCTGCAAATAAAAACCTCAGACTTGAACTGCAGCTGTCCAGAGTTTTATTGCTCTCCGCGCTGGGGCAGAAATATAAGAGCTCTGTGCCACTGGGGGTGAGGGTTACCGTGCTGTCAACACTGGGGGTTACCGTGCCTTAATCAGCCATAGGCCGTGAGAAAAGCAAACAATATATCATATGAAATTGAAGTATAAAATGAAAGTTATCGCAGTTTAGTTGTGTTAGAAGGTGATCCAGTATGTTTATGAACTCAGTTGAATTCAGAGTTTTGGGAAATATGTTGGGGACACAGGTGTCAATCGTAAAAAAATAACGAACAATTAAGCATGTAATTGGAAATCCAGAAATTCAGAGATCACCAGGGGCAGCAACGGTGAACCGTCTTCATGGACAAGAGCTGTATAAATTAAGGTACTCGCTGGATTTGAATTATGAATGACGAGATGCTCCCCTTTAGAAATCGGCGATTTGGGGTGACTGCTCAAGCCTGCACTCGACTGCACGCAGGAAACCCCGATTTACACGACGGCGTTCCCAGTGGGGAGCCTACAGACCCCACAATGCACCGCGCACGGGCTGTTTAAAGACTACACTTCCCGTCTGCGCATGCACGGCACGGGGAGGAGGCGTGGGGCGAGGAGAAGGAGGGAAAAAGAGAGAGAGAGAGGGAACCAGGGGAGAAAGAAAGGAAGGAAGGAAGAAAGAAAGAAAGAGGGAGCAGTGAGATTTTTGTCTCGGGAAACCCGTCAAAATGGCAACGGAGGAGAAGCGGAGCGGGGGGTGCCGGCAGCAGCAGCGCGCGGCGGAGGCTGGGCCCCCCTGTGCGTGTCATAGCAACAGCAACAACAACAACAGCAACAGCACCGGTACCGGTACCGGCACCGCCACCGCTGCGGGCGACCCCGGTTCCAAAGCGGACGGCGAGGTCTGCGACACCGCGCCGGCGACCCCGACCTCGGTCTGCCCGGAGCCCGGGAGCGCCGGCCCGGACTGCGCCTCCCACGATACCGGGACCGCCGGGACCGGCACCAGCGGCCCCAACGGCAGGGGCAAGTGGGTCCGGCTGAACGTGGGCGGCACCGTGTTCCTCACCACCCGCCAGACCCTGCTGAAGGAGCAGACCTCCTTCCTGTACCGGCTGTGTCAGCATCAGGACCTGCACTCCGACACGGTGAGGTGGGGCGGATCGGGGTGTTGGGGGGGGTATCTGACCTTGTCCCGACCCGTCCCGACCCG